TGGTGCGTATTTTTTCCGCGCCCATGTTAACGGATCAGAGCGTTCACACTGCACACGATTGCGTTCCGAGTCTAAAGGCTCGGGTATATTTCACTCTCCGCGTTCCATTCCGTCTCGCGCACAGCCGCGTCCGCACAACTTTCAAAGTATACTCAACCGCGGATGGACGAGCTCGACACAGGCCCAAGTCTATTTCTGCTGTGCTGCACGCGCTGAATTAAAGTGACAGCGCTTTGTTCGCGGTAAAAATGAACATGGGTTGAGACTGAAATGTAGTAATTTCACAATAAATAGGTATAATTAGTCTACTGTGTTTCACAGGCTTTTCGGCTAGGTTTAAAACAAAGAAAAGTGCACTTTTAGATAAACAAGGCAACATGCACTTGTTTTGTGGAGGTAGAAAAACAAAGTTCTTTAAGACCCGCTGGACTGTTTGTAATAAAGATTTAAATGTAAAAGGCACGAGAGCCGACTGTTTCTGTCAGTGGTAAGTTTTAATTTAAAATATTTGTGATAGCCTAACACAAGAAAAGTAGGCTATATGCTGTTTAAATGTGTTTCCACTTGCTTGAGCAAATTAATATACAAATCTAGAAGCCAAATGCATTTAATACGCTGTTTATATTAATTGAGTTTAAACGTGAATATGTCTATGAAAGATTGTGTAACTGTACTGTGATAAAAGAGGATCACAATAATGAAAATCACTTTCAGTATAGGCTAACAACGTTTGGATTTGAAATCAAAATAATAGATAAATGTTGGGTTCGTGGTAAACAGCCACGGATCAGGAGTGGACTGCAAACGCGTCCTGTGTGAAAGCACAATGAGTCCGTGCTGCTTCTGCACCGCATACGTAACGCACATGGACCGCATACGCACTGCAAATGGAGTATGTGTGAAACAGGCGTTAGTCCAAATCAGCAGATTCAACCTTAGTAATAGGGTGCGTTTGTGTTCTTTTCTGTGGGTGTAGGGTATTCTTGGCTCTGGCTTTGCTCTGAAGGTCCAAGAGCAGCACAGACAGAAGCACTTTGAAAAGAGGAGAAACCCAGCAGCCAGCCTCATACAGGTAAGCTCATCCTATCTCAAAATCTCGATCAGTCAAGACATTCAGAACTCAACACATGTTGCTTCATTAGAATTTAAAACAAAGAACGCTTAATGCTCAAATCTCTTCATGTTTCATAATTGGTGGTTTTTAAGGAACCCGAAGAACTTAAGCATTTCTTCTCTATGTATAATTTGCCCTGTTCTGATTCTCATCCTCAAAGATCAGATTCACTTCAATATACACTTACACTGCACACAGTTACTATGTTAATATCAAATTAGTTTCATACCTGCCAGTTTTATAACGGGACATTTATAAGACAATGGCACTCTTCCCTGATATTGTCATTTTAAATCAGTTATTATAGTTAAGTCAGAAACTAAAAAAAGAAAGAAAAACGTAGAATGTTACTTGAAATAAATATTAACTGAAATAAATGTAAACATAGGCGCCGATATGTTTCTGCCGGTGGGTGCTCTCAACCCCCGCCTACCTAAATAGGCATAATACACACATTGGGCCTCATTCATGAAACATTCGTAAATATAGAAGTAAATTCGGAGTAATTTGCGCGTAAAACGGACCTTCCCAAAAACTCCCCTCCAGATTCACTTCGTACACATCAGATTTGATAGTTAAACATGTGTATGTTAATTAATTCCAATCATTCGCAAATAGGGCGCTCTGCACGCTCATTCACAATTAGCATAATCCCCGCATATGAATTACAACTACGCAAATTGTGTGTCCAGGAACGCAGTGGAATATTCTGATCTATTTTCTCAGGTTTGGCTTCAGTATATAGCATAAATGCAAAACAGACTAATAAGCCATATGCCTAACAATAAATATTCAATAACGTGTGTCCACCAAAGCGTTTATTAGCCAGCTGAAAAAATGTCAAGCGCTCTTCTTAAAACGACCAGCTGGTGGCGCTTGAGAATGCTTTGGTGGCACAGCATTTTTCCAGCTGTCTATTTGGTTGCTATGATATGGAATATCCACGGCAGTAACGTATTACTAGTATCTCATTTTGAAGAAATTTACTGAATATAAAAGTGCAGTAACCAGCAATATTAACTTCTTTATTGTTGTTCAGTTGTTGTACAAGTAGGATGATTGGTCGGTAAGTATTTGTCCCGCCCCTCCTCCATTAATTGGACGGCTGGGTAAAAAGTGACAGTGACAAGCACTATCAACTCAGCTACAAAAAAATACAAAAACAGAGCAAACAACCTTGTAAAGTATTATGATAGCAGTGCATCAAAATTCAGTGTCATCAGTTTTGCCAAGAAGAACACGGAACGTTTTACGCACCATTTACAAGTGGTAAGGAGCAGGTGTACATTTCTTTCGTACCAACTAACGTTAACATTTTGAAAATACGACCACTTTCATGAATCCGAAAATTTACGTCGGAACAGCTTTACGAACGATTTACACAAAAATTCGTTCTGCTTGTGTTTTATGAATGAGGCCCATTCTTTCTATGAGGGTTGCGCTTCACTAAATAAAATTATTTAATAAATACCTGTTTACAATAAGCACTCGCACGTACACAGGACAAAGTTTGAGGGCGCACATGTAATATCCGAGGGAGCGCAGAGCCATGATCTCTATATGGGAGAGCAAGGCGAGAGATTCGTGCTGGCGCCCTCTCGTATTACAATAATGCACTCGACATTTGCCATTAAAATATATATATATAATATATATATATTTTTTTTTTTTTATTAAAATTATTTTTGAATTAACAATTAATTGTAAAATAAATAAATCTTTATCAGTTTATTTGTCATCTTTTCCAGTTAAAACATCTAAACGTTTTTAATAATAAAAAAATTATTTGAATGAAATTATAATAATGAACCATGTTCATTTTTAAATGAAAGAAGAGAAAGCGAACAATACCATGGGCATTGATTACATGAGGACTATTATCTTCCGTCAGAGCCAAAGGAAACACTTGCAGATATTTATGATGTGTTTCCACAGAAGGAATTCTGAGCAAGGGCCTCCCTGAGGACAATAGCTCTTCCTAATGGACGGTGCATCCTTCTCCTTTAGCAGAAGAAACAGATTTACTCCAGGAAAATGTCCACACACACACAAACACACATCTACAAAACATTGAGGTCCTGTAATATTATAGAAATGAGTTACTTCCTTTTGGCTGCTGTTGAAAACCCACATGCAATTTCCCAACTATTTTAACCACCATGACCCTGGCACAGCATTTTTCCAGCTGTCTATTTGGTTGCTATGATATGGAATATCCACGGCAGTAACGTATTACTAGTATCTCATTTTGAAGAAATTTACTGAATATAAAAGTGCAGTAACCAGCAATATTAACTTCTTTATTGTTGTTCAGTTGTTGTACAAGTAGGATGATTGGTCGGTAAGTATTTGTCCCGCCCCTCCTCCATTAATTGGACGGCTGGGTAAAAAGTGACAGTGACAAGCACTATCAACTCAGCTACAAAAAAATACAAAAACAGAGCAAACAACCTTGTAAAGTATTATGATAGCAGTGCATCAAAATTCAGTGTCATCAGTTTTGCCAAGAAGAACACGGAACGTTTTACGCACCATTTACAAGTGGTAAGGAGCAGGTGTACATTTCTTTCGTACCAACTAACGTTAACATTTTGAAAATACGACCACTTTCATGAATCCGAAAATTTACGTCGGAACAGCTTTACGAACGATTTACACAAAAATTCGTTCTGCTTGTGTTTTATGAATGAGGCCCATTCTTTCTATGAGGGTTGCGCTTCACTAAATAAAATTATTTAATAAATACCTGTTTACAATAAGCACTCGCACGTACACAGGACAAAGTTTGAGGGCGCACATGTAATATCCGAGGGAGCGCAGAGCCATGATCTCTATATGGGAGAGCAAGGCGAGAGATTCGTGCTGGCGCCCTCTCGTATTACAATAATGCACTCGACATTTGCCATTAAAATAACGCCCCAAAAAGCCTCAAATGAACTATGAAAATGAGAATAAAGTCGTACAAGCTGCAATCCAAATAGCTCTTCCTAATGGACGGTGCATCCTTCTCCTTTAGCAGAAGAAACAGATTTACTCCAGGAAAATGTCCACACACACACAAACACACATCTACAAAACATTGAGGTCCTGTAATATTATAGAAATGAGTTACTTCCTTTTGGCTGCTGTTGAAAACCCACATGCAATTTCCCAACTATTTTAACCACCATGACCCCTTTTCTTTCTCCAGGTTGTTTTCTGATATTGCAGACAGAGAATGTCTCATGTATTCATCAGTCCTAATGTTTATGTTGTCTCTTTTCCTGATCTGTCTTCACCCTGCTTTTAATTTTCTTTCCTTTTTCCAAAGGCCTTTCAGCGGGCATCCAACCATCCAGCTTTAATTACTGTTGTCAATAACTCTGTATTTTAACCGTGCTGTGTTGTTTAAGATGTAATGTTGCAGGGACTGCATTGGTGCAATATTTCTCATCATTTGTGCTCTCTCACCTCCCTTAAATCACTTCAGGTCTTTATATAACCCAGGAAAATATATCTTAATTATGATCTGTGGAGTATGACTCTCAGCTATGTCTGGGTTCGGATTCTTTCCTGCATGTTACGATTGCCTTTTCTCTTTTACTGACATTATTGTAGAGAATGATGGAAAATATGCCCTCCCTCCTCACTGCTGCGTCACGCAGTTTGAGAGCTCCATCTTCAATCTTTCATCCTTCTGATGTTTTTCTCCTCACAACACGTCTTCTGTTTCTTTCTTATGGTTTTTAACGCAGTTTTACATCTTGATGCATAAAACCATATCCATTATCACATTATTATAAGTCAACATTAAATAAAAATGACCCTGTTGACTTTCTTAATGCATGTACCTATTATGAATGCTTCATTAGTGCACATTATTCGTTTTGTTTCTTTTGTTTGTAGTTTTTAATCAAAATGACATGTTCTTCCTTAGCAACCACTTTCCATTTCTGCTGGCATCATTCAGTATATTGGATAATTTAGAAAAAAAAAAGAAATTAGGTTTTGTTTTAGTAAATTCACATTCAAGGCTTGCTTCATTCTAGTATACATAGCCCACTTTTTACAAATCAATCTATTACCAATGAATAAAATGCTATTTTCATATACATTGCAAAATCAGAAGTTAAATGCAAGCAGGGGTTCGTGTTGGCTGTACATTATATCCTACAACAACATCTGTGTGGTCAAATACTCATAAAAGTATTAATTATATAATGGTATTTAGATTGAAATAATACTATTTTAGAGCCAAATGGCCACACGTAAACCCTTAAATTAAAACATACGAGGCCACAAACACTTTTTGCTTTTATTTTAAAAAGTTTGTGCTTTATAAACACTTTTCACTGGATAAATGTATTCCTCTTTTCATTCACCACATCACTTACATTTAAGTCCTTTGGCTGTTTTGATGTTGTGTGTGCCACCCAAACGTCAAGACATTTGTTCAACACTGATCTGCTCTCATATTTGGACATGGTAGATGTGTGAAAAACACTCAAATCTTCTTGAATTGTATACAGTGGGATCCAAAAGTCTAAGACATCATCAAAAATCTGGAATTCAAATATACTGCAATTTAAACCTGATCAAAAATGAACATTAACATAAAAAAATGAAGCATTATTACACAAATAAGAGATATTTAATACATTAGAGACATGTGACTATTTGGACCGACGGTCAGATGTTCTTACTTCCTCAAGATGCTCTTTGGATCATTCTCAGATCATGCTGGAAAACATAATTATCGGGTTTTCCACTAACTTGTGAAGGTCATGCAACTCAAGTGCTGCATTATTTCTAAGCAAAACCATATGCTAAGAAATAATGAATTCATTTTTTACTTTTTACTCGCATTGTTATGCAGATAATCTTATTTTTAAAAAAGCATTTTCACTAGTGGTCTCAGACTTTTGGTCCTCAAAAGACATAGGCTAACATGTTTTCCAGCATTGCTGAAAACTTCGAACATTTAAACAAAATGAAAGCAGCGGTTTGAAGAAATGTCTTGAGCTTGATCAATGATTCACTGGCTGTTCCCTCACCATGCTATTGTCTTTCTCCACCCATGTCTCCGTCTGTGTGTGTCTGTCTCCTGCACCAGGCTGCGTGGCGTCTCTACTCCACAGACCTCTCCAGAACATACCTGAGTGCCACATGGCTGTTCTATAAAAGTGTTCTCCCTCCTCAAAGGCATGTATCAATGCAGTGAACTGATGGAAGAGCACTTACATGAACCGGTTGTTACTAATCTTTCTTTTTTCTTTTGTTGTTCTCCTTTTTTTTTCCAATCCCTGCTTTTTTCCTGGCCTTGTGTATTTCTCTTTTTACTTTCTACTGTCCTCATTTCCCTCCCTATTTTCCTGGTTTTGTATATTCTGCACGTAGTGTGTGTGGCGTAGCTATGCGGCTGATGAGAACTCGGTTTCCATTGCTACCTGGAAGCCTCATTTGAAGGCGTTGCATACCTGCAGCCCTACAAAGTAGGTACAACTCTGGCAGCTGGTGTCGTATTTGGTGTCAGTGCTTCTGTAGCTCTCATTTCCCCACTTCCCTCATCAAATAAACTCTGTTTTCCTTCAATCTGTCTCTCTTCCTAAGCATAATCATCTCTTCTGTGCCCTACCGTAGTCTATAGATATCCATGCTTATTTAAATCCTCATTAGGTCACTGAAAAAACGCATATGGCCAGATGTCAAAAGTACAAATAAATTATACCCAAGTATGGATACTTTTTCAAAATTGTAATGTTAAATGTCAAAATATCTTTCCTAAAACATACATGAATTGCTACTGAATAATGATAAACTTTTCATCTCACAATTCTGACTTTTTTCTCAGAAGTGCAAGTTTTATCTTGCAATTCAGACTTATAACACATTTTTTTTATTTTATTTCTTGCAAATATAAGTTTACATCTGCAATTTTAAGATAACATTTCACACTTGGACTTTTTTTTTCCAGAATTGCACGTTTGTATCTCAAAATTCAGTCTTTTCTTTTCAGAATTGTGAGCATATATTTCACAATTCAGATTTTTTCCTCATAATTCTGAGTTCAGCTCACATTTCAGACTTTTTTTATATATTTCTTGGAGTTTATATCTATTTTAAGAGGGACCTCAAAATTGTGATATTTACACTGATAATTGTGATAAAGTTATTATGAGTTATTATAAACTCGCTTATTCAAAGAATAAAGTCTAAATTGCAAGTTGTTAACTTGGAGACATAAAATCAGTTTTGTTATAAATTTTACTTCGTGGTGGAAGCAGCTTTCATAGACTGCTGAAATTAACAAAATAAGGATATCTAACAAACAAAACTATTTCTTTGATACAAACCCCACTCTTCTGACTCTATACTAAATAATTATTTATTACTAAATAAATAAAGAACTGTACATTAGTCAAAACTGTTAAACTTTAAATGCAACATCAAATGGTTTTATTATTCTTTGATGCTGGATCATTATTAATATAGAATAATGTGTTTATACTCAAATCAAGTTGTTCATTCCTGAGAATAGCTAGAATTAGAACGTTTTTTTTTTTAGGTCAAAGACTGTTGGTGACTGATGAAAAATCTCTTCATGAGGACAAATACTAGTAAACTAGTGGAGGCTAATTACCATGAAATGCATTTTATTAGCTTGTGTGAGTGTAATTTGAATGGCCCTCTAGCTCTGTAAGATGCACAAAAAAGATCAAATATTTGGGTCATTATGTTCTGCAAATTTACTTTGTTCTTTGGAAGGCTAAATGAGTATGACAATTTGAAAAGTGTGATTTGCCCTTAGAAATGTAATTCAATAAGAGAACAAATATTCAGTTTCAATAGTACAAGTTCCCCAAAATAATACTTAATGATGTACAGTTACTGAAATAGCTCACAACCCTCAGGTTTTGACAGTGGACATAAGTCTTCTGTATAACTGAAGCTTCAAAGTTTCCGTTTGGATGAGAGCCACAGCCTCACACCTGCTTCCTCGTGTATATGCTGTAGCTAACTGAAATTTCCCCTACCGATAAATCAAACTGAATAGAAGCCAGGACAGTTTGTGGACTGACACCTGAAGACAGACACATGACAATGCTCTGACAAATGGGTGTACTGCTATGTTCAGGCAATTCCCCAATTCTGGAGTAATTACACACAGAGCAGCCCTTGATAACACAGCTGTCCCTCTTCTGTTAGCGCTTGTCTTAGTCAGCTTGACTGTGCATTGCTCATAGCTTGCTTGCCTGCTTGTTTGCTGCCTGTCTTAAAAAAGACTCTCCATTTCTTCCTACTCTTAATGTGTGTGTGTGTGTGTGTTGAGGTATATTTGTTTAATTTCCTTTTTTTAACATTTAAACTATAATTTGTGTGACACAGTGAAATATATTGGTGTGTCATTCCTACAATGAAACACTTCGTATATTTCAGAGGCATCTGTGTCTCTTCTGTAGTCTCCTTATTAGTTTCTGTCGGTCATGTGAAGTGTTAATATCCTGCCTCTTTTCTCTCTATGTTTTTAACTAACACCTGAAGGAAAGACCAGGGGGAATCCATCAGCAGGTTTGTTGTTCTCGTATCTACATCCTCCTAGTGTCCGGAATGTTTTAATTATTTAAGTATTGATTGTCTTTTAGCTTCCAGTGCATCAATAAAAATAGGGAGAAGAATTAAGTACATTCAGTCATGGCATGTTACATGTCTTGCTTTATCATTCACTCCCACTGATTTTTTATTTATTTGAAATAGTAGCTATAGTATGTGTGGTATCTGCTAATTATCACATAATAAACCAAGACAGGATGATCAGGACACCAATGTGAAGCTAACTGTACTGTCTCTTATAACAAGGCTACATATAATTAGTAAACTATTGATTTTAATTTGGTTTATTATATTACTTGTACATTATAATCAGTAAGATAATATTTTTATTCAGCAAGGATGCATTAAATTGATTAAAAGTTGCAGTAAAGACATTTAAATGTTTACATTTTCAAATTTCAGATAAAGGCTGTTCTTTTTTAACTTTCTATTCATCAAAGAATCCTGAAGAAATTATGAGTTTAACAAAAAATATTAAGTGTGATAATAATATGAATTGAGCCCCAATATATATTGTATACTATATAATATTAATCAGTATATTAGAATTATTTCTGAAGGATCATGTGACGATGAATACTGGAGTAATGGCTGCTGAAAATTTAGGCTTTCCATTACAGGAATAAAATTCATTTTTAAATTAAAGTAGATAGATTTTTTTTTTATATATATATTTTAATAATACTTCACAGTATTACTATTTTGTAATGTATTTTTTATTAAATAAATGCAGCCAACATAAGTCTTCTTTTATATATATATATATATATATATATATATATATATATATAATATGTTTTTTGCTAGATAATAGCTTCAATTAATTGCTTTTTATTAGTAAGCAATAGCTGTAAACAAAAAAAACTTGGCGCAATATCAAACACACGACACAACATGTCAAACCATAATGTGAGCAATGGAGAATTCCAGTGAGTAGCAACGGAAAATAATGATTACTGTGTCAACACTCATGTTTATTCAATTCAAGGGGTAAGACATTTTTTGTTTGCTTATGCCCCTTGACGTTAAATCAAAACTTTTTTGTTTTCTTGTTTACATGTCCAGGAGCTTACTGTATGCTTTATTTTCATCATCTTGGACATCTTTATGTGTCATTGACCCATAATCACTTTAGTACAGTGATTTAATCTATGCTTGACTAATGGTGAAGGTGATTCATGGCAGACAGACTCTTTGGAAAAATTGGTGGCAGTGTTGATGTGGCTGCATAGGGGGCAGTAACTGGACATATGGTCAGTTCCTGGTGTACACAAGCAATTAAATCAGAAACTACTTCAAAACCACATCAAAATACATTTGTTAGAGTATCAGTGGGCATTTAGTTGATGTGTAAACTTGCTAAGCTTCAGAATGTTCATTCTCAGACCATTTGTAACTGAAATGTGGAAAGCAATGTGTTTTATGTGAACGAGTTATGTATCTTCTTGGGTGTTCTGGTATGCAAGTAAATTTCATAATATGTAGCTGTGTGTCATAATATAGTGGCGTGAAATGAGC